AGGGTGTGATACATGGTTTTGCCATGGGAAGCTCCTAATAAGAAGCTTTGATAGAGATCTTTTGTATTAAGTGATATCTCAGCACAAATAAAAAATAAACCTTTTAAGGCATTTAGTTTCAGTCCTCAAACCTGTCTTACGTCTTAATGTAGTCATAAAATTCAGGTAGCATATTGCACGTCACTGCAAACACAGCCAGTGCAAACATGACAAAAATCAGAGTTCTGATCAGTTTTCCATCCAGCTTTTCCATTACAGACCACTAATTACCCCACTGAAGTTCAGTTAAACTCCATGAAGGACAGTGAACCTCCTCTTTAGGCATATGGGATGTGGGTCCTGATATCATCTTTCATTTTGAAAATGACAAAGAAGAAGAAAGAGGGAACTCCTGTAAGCAGCAGGTGTTAATTATTTTACTTGAATTAAATAGCAGTGAATTAATGAAATCTCTGGCTGCTTTAGCAAAGGTGTGGCCAGCTCCAATAAGACTTGACACAGCCTGAAACATCGCAATGCGTAAGGGCAATCTGACTTTGAAAACACCTATTTGCTTTGCAATATGCAGCTAGATTGGAAAGAAAAGAAAAAACAGCTTCCTACCATTTTCCAGTTTCATTAAAATCTTTGCCTTTGGAATGAGACTTTAGAAATGAAATGCTTAATGTATTCAGTGAAATATAATGCAGCTGTTTGCCATGGTGACCTTTACAGTATTCTGTATTTTATATTTTGATTAGCCATGTACCAGTAGAAAATCCCTTCCATGGCTTTTGATAGCAGACCTAACTCCGAGCTGTGCTACTTGTGTGTAAAGTAAAATCATGCAAGAATGTCAACAGCTACAGCTATTTCTGAGCAATAGTATCTCATACCCAAAGCTGCATTTCCATAAACTTTGCAGAAGGCTCATATGCAGGTTTTATAGCGCACAGGGAGTGACTACAGGGAGTCTCAGCTCCTGCAGCCTTTATTAAAAACTACTGCATCAAAGGCAGTATTAAAGCATTATCAAATATATTTTTACTGGAAAGAACAAATAAAGCTACAATGCATCTGTGTTTTCATATTCTTACAAGGAATTTTGAATTTGGGAATATTTGTACCCACTTCAATGTTCTGTGCATTTATCAGGCAGAAAAACCAGGTGGATTAAGTAAAGTATGAGTACAGATGTAGAAGATGGAACTGTACCCTCAAAAATCAATATAGTCTGGCTAAAACTTGTTCCCAAATCATTTGGAATTTGCTGTAGTCCATTACAATTATTGGTAACAGTGGCTTTAAGCTCAAAAAATAGTGTGATGGAACAGAAAAATTGTGTTTATACCTACTGCAGATGAGTATAGGATATGGAGATGTAACCTGTACCATAACTATTTTGTTTCCTCTATCCATGTAGAGTGATGTGAGAAGCTTAAAAGTCCTTGTCTGGATGAGCAACATCTAAACCACTGGTGTGTTATCAACATCGTTCGCATCCTAAATCCAAACACAGCAATGTACCAGCTACAAGGAAGAAAATTAATTCTATCCCAGCTGAAACCAGGACAAGTACACAAGAGGGTGGATGGGGATTTAAGCTCTGAGAATCTAGGAAAATAAGAGCTTGTTCTCATCAAAGTTATCACACTCACCTCCACATATGATACATGCAGCCTAAAGGATTCGGAGAAGAGTTTTTGGTTGGTTGGTTGGATTTAAATAAATTTCAGTTTCTAGGCTTGTATGCATTTAATTTAATAACCTTATTAGTTGCAAAAGTTTTTCACAGTTAGTTACATGGCATATGCTGTCAAGCATCTAGACCCTTATGTAGTCTTATGGATGTAAACAAAACTGCAATACCACCAAAAGAAATTCTCATACTGAAGAGAAGACTTTCTTATCTAACAGGAGACTACATTGTGAAGCCACAATTTTATTATTTAGTTTTATTGTTTTAAATTAAATAGAACAAAGTGGCTATTTCATCTTGCTGATTTAATAAGTTAATAAAGTCTGCTGGCAAACATGTATTTGATGTACTGTAGAACACAACAGCTCCTTCTCCATGTTGAGGAAAGTATTAAAGAACAAAATCTGCCGCGGAGATGTTACATCCTGTACTGTGCTTGATGAAGCCAATATTTACCAGCACTAAAGGTTTAATTCATTGTCTGACACAGCCTTTTCTCCCAGTTTACTTGTGCTTTAGTCAACTTACCAACTTGGGTTAAGTTCTCTCCATCCTTATGTAACACTTTCAGGTGTGGCAGTGATTATTTTTTAAACATGCCTTTCCATCAGCAGTGGTTTTCCCCATTAGGCAAAATACAGTAACAGGGGATGCCATATAGCATTCCTTGAGCAATGTGAAACAGAAGTTCACTACTGCCAGATGGTAAAGGGATCACAGTCCCCAGTTCAGTTCTCTGACAGCTTTATAATCAACCTGTACCTTCGCCTGCTCTCATGGTATTAGCTAAGGGACTTCAGAGGGGTGTTTTCAGGGAGGTCAGCATTAGCAGGGGTGACTACCATGATCTAACAGCCAGGAGTAGAAGACACTGAGTTAAGCGCAAGCTTCTTTTTGAAGGTGATTTACCTGAGACACAGCACTGCAGAAGCCTGCAGGTGGTTCTATTATTCTTCACTTCCAGTAATACGAAGCATGACAATAAGTAAGATAATTAAACCAGTTTAACTTATCAGGTGTATCTATGAAGCTTATTTTTACAATATACTGATGAAGTATTTATTTGCATATTATGGTTTTGTTTTGTAATCTTTCTTTTTTTTGGGGGGGGGAGGGGTGGAGGTTTTTTGCATTCTTTGTTTTTCCCATCAAAACATGCAGTAATTCTGAATATCTGTCAGAATATTAACCCATAAAGCAAGAAAAAATATTGGGAGACTGTTTAATGGCACTGTATGATCAATTTTTTTTTGTCAGTACAGACATGATAAAAGTTTTAATATACCTAAAACTATGACTTGATAGCTTCACAGGTAACTAAACAGTTTCATTCACATACTCCACTTCAATGGGGAGCTGATCTCCTGCTGGGTTTTATAGCTGAAACTAGTAAAAACATCTAGAATCATAGCATCCTAGAATGGTTTATGTTGGAAGGAACCTTAAAGATCATCCAGCTCCAGCCCTGCGATGGGCAGGGACACCTTCCACTAGAGCAGCTTGCTCCAAGCCCCATTCAACCTGGCTTTGAACACTGCCAGGGATGGGGCAGCCACAGCTTCTCTGAGCAACCTGTGCCAGTGCCTCACCACCCTTTTCCTAATCTAAGTCTTTCTTCCTAACATCCGATCTACCCTCTTTTAGTTTAAAGCCATTCCCCCTTATCCTATCCCTGTCCCCAGGCTGAACAATTATATATATATACATATATATATATATATAATTCATAAATCAGAATTCCATGTATAATTCAGAAGAACATAAAAATAAAAACAGTCTGTCATAGATTACTCAAAAATGGGGAGACTCTCTCTGCACAGACTATAGCCATGTGCATCAGCAGGTGGCTCTATGAACTATGAAACCTTGAAAGTAAATCCTGACCCGCCCCTGTACCCACTGATGTCCATGGTGGTACTGAGCACCTCTTGAAAGGCAAAGCACCTCTTGAAAGCAAAGCACACCCTGTCTATGACTTTTCCACAGGCACATCTTAGGGTTGTCACTCTGCACAGTATTTAGTAGGCAATGAAAATTAATCAGTTACACAACAGTGGGCCAGAAATGCAAAACCAGACAGAAAAAAAAAGAGAAATAGAAACAGCCTCACATAGCCACATGAGGAAATTAAAACTTGACTGGAAAGGAGCAAAAGTCAATTAGAGAGAAGATAATCAGAAAGAGAATTTGAAACAAAGGCTTTCATTTTCTCTGACATTGATTTTAAAATCCTGAAAGGACAAGCACAGTTTTAATGAATGTTATTTTAAAATAATTAATATATCACAACCAGGCATGTCAGAGAAAGATGAACATTACAGGCTCAGAAGTATTTTCTTCACTCCCTGCAGAGAAGTGCTTGATATGAAGGAAGCCAGAGCTGGAGGAAACTATAGATGTGTGTGTGAGATACTTAATAAAACAAGACTTTGGTCTCCTAAGTTTAGGTGAGATAACACAATACAAACGTTTGCCCTTAGAGTGCAATGACAGTAATAGAATGATATCTGCTTAGTAATCTCCCCAGAAAGAAATGCAATTTGGTTAAGGGAATTTTATGCACATATGATAATTAATTTCTGTAACTTTAATGAGTTGAAAGAAACACTAAAAATAAGATACTTGCTATGTACTTCTCAGCCCACCAAGCAGAAAAAAAAGGTTAGGTTCTCAAAGCAATAGGACAGGACTATGCTTAACCACTACCTCCTGAATGAAAACAAACCCCCAAAGCATCCTGAAATGAAAGAGAGGAGAGGGTGCTGAAGCAGATATTGCCCAGTATGTTCCCTTTGAAAATCATGTATCTGCTGTACAGTTGCCACCAGACACCAAAGCAATAAACACACTGGTAAGACTGGGGTTAGTCACAGAGCTTCATGGGAAATTTGCCACAAATCACAAGAGATCTCAGTTTCATGAAAAGGAAAGATGAACTGGGAGGGGGGGAAGAAATGGAACAATATTAGAGAGCTGAAAATAACCATTTAAATATTAAAACCCAAGAAAGTATCTCTTGCAAATAACAAACCCCACATAAATTCAGTAACTGGACTGAGGGAGGGTCAGTATTTCTCAGGCTATGGATAAATAAGCTAAGAATGCTGTGAAGACCTCAGGTAATTAGAGTATGCTGAAAAACACATACTCTTTTCTCATACAAGTTGAAATCATGACTCCTGAAATGAGTCTAAAAAGACACAGAACCAAGAGCTTTGCACAGGTTCCCATAGGCAGGAGATCAGTCACTCAGACTGGGAAGGCAGCGACTATGTGGGATTTTAAAATGTTTTTCTTTTGTTTTTTTAACTCCTACCTTTTTTCCATTTCCACCATGGCTGCAGGATGTGGTTCCACATAAATAATTCTGGAAATGGGCTGAAGAGATGACATCTGAGGTTTCGGAATTAACTGAATATATGCACAAAACTTTCCACTTCTCAGAGTAGACAGCATGGGAAGCTCCCCGTGGAGTACCTGTGAGGCATGAAGAGACCAGAAGCTGAATAAGAAATGTTTATAGCAGCTATTGTAGTCCCTTGCCATGCCAGAAGGAAAATTCTACCCTGTGCAAAGGACCAGCACAGGACCCTCAGCACACGGAATTTCCACATTAGCCCTGCAACAAAGAGCTCAAGGGGCATCCTGGAGGCAACAGCCTGAAGATTTACCCCATGTTCCTCCTCCATGAGCACACGATCCACATTTACTAAGAACAGGCTAATTTATCCCCTTCCTTCTCTCCTTAAAATCAGAGTGTTCTTTGTTTCTGGAAAAATGCAGAATCATCAAGCAGTATGGATTGACTTAACCAGGGCAAAGCCACCAGATGTGATAGAGAGCAATGGTCTCTGTCCTTAGGTACACCCAAAGTTATCCACCCCCTGTAGGTGCACAGAGTTCCCCATAGAGGGAAAGCTGTAGCGTGGAGGCTCCAGCAGATTACAGGTACCTATTAGAAATAACTGGTCCATATTTACTTGTGACCACAGAGGGTGCATCACACTCCATATCTCACATTCTCCAGAGTTTAACTACTTTCATAGCAAGTCCCTAATTCAAAATATTATTGTGGTATATAGCTGCTACTCCTCCATAGCAATTCCAGTTCAGAGCCAGAAGTGCTTTACAGAAGAAATCCGCAGTGTGTCCATCTTGAAGGGAAACAGAAACCCAAGTGTTTTGAGTGGGGTCAGGATTAGTTAGCAGACCCACAAGTGTCAAGAACTCTATCACGTAGTTCTACACTCCTTCCTGTATTTTCCTAATTTAGAGTCTAAGTGGAAGAGCACTTCAGTTTCTCATTAGATCTCACAGTAAATCATACTGAAATATGGTATCAATTTTTTGTTCTCCTTGAAACACTGTAATAATTTCAAACTATTTTGGTACCACATGGGTTATCTTCCAGAACATGATGAGTGTAACTACTTCTGGATTAGAGTGTGTGTGCGTAAGTATCCTCATGCAATCGAATCTAAATTGCATCACTCACTGTATCAAATACAAGAAACCAAACCCAAAATTGTTCAAAAAGGAGAGTAAATATTTTACTGCATGGTTCACTGAAAACAAATACACACAAAGATAATTGACCTCTTCTAGATATTTGCAGAACATGGCTTAAAGACCTTATTACTGTTTTATAGGAAAACTAATTTTACTGATAAAGTACAGAACAAGTGTTTAACTGAAATCAGATCCTGCACAACAAGAAACACAGAAGGGAGAAGAAAAAGAATACAAATTAAGAAACAGGACAAAGAAAATTGTGCTGATTAATAGGAGCGCATTCTAGTAAAGAAATAGATTTTATCACAGCTATGAGGTTATGTGGGTTTATTCCAGTTTAAGATTGAGATAAAGCTACTGAAAAAATTCAGTCCTCTTACATGTGTTGAAGGTTTTAATTTTTCCAAGAGACTAATTGCTAGATGGCAGGAACCTTTTTGTATGTTAATCTCAAACTGACACATATCAAAATAAAGTCACTTCAGTAGGTGGCAGGTGAACATTAATCTCGGGCGTAATGAAAAAGGAAGAGCTACTCAAATGCCAAAGAAATGCCAAATCTGAGAAACTAAAATATTTCAAGGAGAAAGTACCCGCACATCAATCCTTTCCCTTCACATTTATCCAGTATTTCTAGCAACAGTTGTACACCAAAGTGGAGGGAGATAGTTTCATAATATTTAATTCTACTGCATTCAAAGGAGCAGGAGAAAGGCATCCTGGCTTTGCATTGCTGTGCAGGTACCAAACCACGCTCCCGACCTGCAGAGCTTGTCTAGCACACGGAGTGAAGCAGCAGGGAAATGCATTGCCTGTCCGCACACCACAATACATAAAGTTCGCTCACTGCACTGAAGCACATTCAGCCCTGAGGAAGCCACCAGTCTGCTCAGTATTTTCTCATAATTAAACCATATATTTTGCTGGATTGAAGCTGTGTAATTTAAGTGGGTCAGTTCACAGAACAACTCAAGTTGGAAGGGACTGAAGCTCCAGGAATGGTTGAAACCCAGATTTTGAATTAATGTTCATGGTATCCAACCACCTATTTACACTCTCACTAGCTAAAGGTGAGGGCTTTCTAGAACAGGTCAGCTGCCTCTGCAGTTGGAGGAGCAGTGTGGCTTCGGTCATGGCTGTGTCATGCTTTCCACTGCTGCACTTCCTCAGGAGAGATTGAGTCTTGTTACAGTCTGCCTGGATTATCCACAAACATGTTCTTAGCAAGGCACCTAAATTCAAATTTACCTCCCCAAAGCGGATGGATGGAGCTGCTTACTCACAATGTTTGATCACACCCACAAGTGAACCCACCAGGTCGGGTGTTACAAATTACTAACAGATTGAATCTAATACTGACAAGAATCTGCTCAATTCACATTCAGGTTGAGACAGGAGTTTCCCCATTGCTCACACAAACTGTAAATGCTGAAAGCCAGCTGTGAGTGCAGAGCCCTGCGACCATGCAGTCCTGCAAGCTTTAGGGTTTCTTCTGGATTTATTGTGTTTTGGTTTGTTTTTTTTTTTAATACTCACAGTTCCCTCATTAACAGTTAACTTACATCATTAAACATTTAATCCTCAAATGTGTTCTTTTTACCCCAGGAAAAGTTGGGGTTTCATAAAGATTATTGCTACATGCACAGAATTGACATAGGTTTCGCAGCAAGCACATGCTCTTCTGCCAGGTGAGTTGTAATAACGATTACCAAGTAAAGCTGGTCAAGGTTTTATGCTTCCCAAGTATATAACAGCAGAGGAAATCTATCTGCAAGACGAAAGAGTCTTGATATAAGTACAGTATCTCCAAAAGATGAAAGTGAGCAGATCTGAGCTTATTAGATACTTGTCAATAAAGGGGAAATGCACCTCATGCAGTTGACAGCAGGGAAAAAGGATGACTTTAATATTGCTCACCTCCCAGAAGCAACCCAGTTAGGCTGGGAGCAGAAATATTGGCACGAGCAGCAACGCTATGCACTAAGTTTGCCTTCAACTTTCAGCTTTCCTATAGAGTGCAGACTATTTTCATACTTAAGGCACATAATAATCATGTGATGCGTGCTAGCAACAATCTGTAACACACATAAATATGCTTTTTGTTCATAAAGTTCCATCAAACAATCCCCTGTATAAAGAAGTTGTACCTAATTTTGCACAGGCATTTGTGGAAATAAGCAATTCAAAAGCTTGAACATGAAAGGGGATTTTACAAGGCCTTTATTATTTTGGAGATTTTTTTTTTGCAACCATTTAATCTTATATGTCTTGAGCTACTGGATGTTGCCCACTCTTGTCTCTATAAAGGCTCAAAACACTTTTTGCAGTAATTTGAAGCAGAACCTCCTGCTCCATAACTATCCATCCAGCCCTTTATTAATCTCTCCTTTCTAGTATCTTCTTTGCTCTTTCCAACAGTTTCTGTGCTGCTCCACTTCTTTAACAGGACAAAAAAAAAACCCAAACTCACTCATTCGAGACCACTGGTTTGTTTATGAGCAAAATTCACATGGTATTTTGAAGAGCAAAATGAGAAGACTTGGAAGCATTGGGATTTCTGGGTTTAATTTAAATAACTTAAAATTTTAGATGTTTATAAACTGTTAGTGATAAGCTGTAGTTAGGCATATTACTGGTAATATTAGAATCTGTTTCACTTTCACAAGCATATATCAGTAAAAGTGGGGCTACACAGAGGTGTTGCTCAGTTACTCTGCACTCTGATATTTACTGGAGATAAAGACAATTCAACAACCCAGAAAACAATTAGATAATAAATAATCTAGAAAAAAAAGGATATTTTATATTTAATTCCACCATTGTTTGTTTTTAAAGGCATTTCAAGCTCAACTTGAATGATTCAGTTTTCACCTCTCAGCAATGACACTACTTTTGTTGTTCTTTCTGCCATTGCTAAGATTTCTCTGTGAAAGAATGAGGGCCTTTCTGAATGAGTAACACAGTGATAGAAATTAGAGCTGATGCTTAAAAAAAAGGAAAAACAATGAAAAACATTCCATTAAACATCATTACATTTTTTTGCCTTTAAGTGAATTGTGTTTCTTTTTCTCTGTCAGAAACCTACATTTGGAATTGTACAGTGAACGCTCTCTTAATTATGATCTTGCTCAAACTCAATTGAATTTCTCTCTGTCTCTATTCCTTTCTTTTCCTCCTGCTGCTGCTAATTAAGATAAATACGTCAGAAGTGCTATTGCTGAAGGGAAAGCTGTAACAAGTGTCACTGGTCCCTGTGATATTTCCCATTTTGCCATGAGCTGTCACCAATGATTTAGGACCCAGTGCCAAGGATTATATTAATCTTGATGAAATTAGCAAATGCTCTGTGATGTTGACACCCCTTGGTGCTAAATGACATTCCCTTGGCTGGACCATTACTACTAAGAGAAAAATACTCTTTCTTCCTCAGAGGCTAGTAAATGTGGGCATTAGGTGAATATTCCCTCTCTCCGTCCCCCTCCTGAAAGGTTGAAGGACAAATTCAAGTGTTACTTGCTATAAATGTTTAGGTTTTATTTTAGCATCACTGGTGAAAATCTGTGACAGACTCCTCAAAGATATTAAAAAGCTTGTCTGAGGCTAATGGACGGAGTAAAAGAACACTGTTATATTTTTGCTTGATAAAGGACCACTGTTGCATAAGGAAATACTGTGCAAGAAAGATTATACTCAGTGTACAATAAAAAGTTCATGCTCAAGGCCAGGTTGAACAGAGCCTTGGGCAACACGGTCTAGTGTGAGGCATCCCTGCCCACAGCAGGGGGCGGAACTAAATGATCTTAAAAGTCCTTTCCAACTCAAACCATTCTGTGATTCCGTGCTTAAAAATAGGTTGGGTTTGGGTTTTTTTCTTAGGTTAAAAGCTTCATTAGCTAGCTTCTAAAATCTTTTCTTTGCACCCATAGGCAGCTAAGAGGTCAACTTGAGGGATTTGCTCATCTGTG